GGGTATCTCCTAGTCGAGCAGTCTCGACTAGAGTCTTCTTACTTGTTTTATTTTGTTTTTATTTTGATTGGTCGAAAACTCAATTCACTTAAATAACAAATAGAAATTCATTAGGAGACTTGCAATGACCGATTTAGAGTTACCATCTAGTTTTAGCTAGTAATAATGTGAATAAATAAATAATAAAATATATATAATATAGCAATATTTTAAATACTTTTACAGATGTGAAATATTAACTATTTATTTTGTGAAACGTTAATGAATTAAAAAATAAATTATTTATTTTTTATACTATATTCAATATATTCAACGTTATCATAAATACGAAATTTAATAAACTCGAAATAAAATAATATAGTAATATCAGTAAAGTTTTTTTTTTTTTTTTTTTTGTTAATGCTAATTAGCTCTTAACTATTTGAAGTAGTCTAAAACTCCCTTCCTCCGTGTTCATTTAGTAGAGGATATACGAATATTATTTGTTTATTTGTCGCAAATAAAATGTACATTAACAGTTTGTTTCTAGGGCTCCGCTCATTTCTATTATTCCCTTCTTTTCAAAGTTTTATAGACTTTTCGTTGAACTCGTAAAAATAGAAATGTTATAGTTGTCATTTGATGTCTGTGCCACAAATGGGTTTTAACGACAGTTGTCCCAGGGCGGGGGCGTGACAGGTGCAGTGTGGCCCGCCTTCCGGTGCAAGCGAACCGCACAATGAGCAGCTTGCTCGAGCCACCCGAGACTCAGTTGGACCCACCCAGAAAGAAAGCGAGAGAGACTCAACAATCGATTGACTAATGAATCAATTAAAGAGGCCTTTTGGCCAGGCCCCAAAAACCTGAATTCGATTTCAAGTTTTTGCACACTTAGCAACGTTCCCACTGGGTTGAATTTATCACCCGGTTTTAAGGAGCTGCCAACAAATGCAGCCACAGCCATCAAGACGCGTCGCTGGTTTTATCAATGCGAATGCATCAGGCGCGCGATAAACGGGAAATTATTTCAAGCAAATAATCGGAATTTAATGTGACATCCGACAGGCGACAAGAGTCCCGAATCGCAAGTCACGAGCCAAAAGCCAGACGAATGAGAGAATTTGTTTGAGACAGATCGATGTCGATATACCCTTTCAGGTTCATCTTATAACACTGATACCATATACGAGTCTACAAATTTGTGTATTCTAAATATTAATATTCATGATAAACTATTATATGATTAATCTACAATTAAAATTGCAGTGTTCAAATCCATCTAATCATGTACTGGTGCTGTCTCTCTCTCATCTTAATTCAAACAAGTTTCTCAGTCGTAAATTCCTCATAACTTTTGACATCCACATTTGGGTCTGCTACAAGTACATATATTTCTCACTTTGATAAAAAGAGAAAATGAATAATTAAACGGAAACTTCGATCTCGATAAATATTTTCCAATAAATAAAAGGCTATGATTTAAAAGGAATACATATTATATCCAATAAATCGAATGCAATATTAAACACGCTTTTAAAACAAAGCCATGTCTGTCCTTTGTAAGCGAAATACCTATGGTACCTGGCCGTTACTTCTGGCAGTTGATGTGACACCTTGTCCCTACTCAGAAGTTGCCTTGCCTTCTCCCCTTTCCCTTATTCCGCATATCAATAACAGACGGACAATGGCTGGGAGCGTGTTCCCTTTCCGAATGAAGCATTATTGAACTGTCAATGCCTGTGACAAAGGGTTAAACGTGTCACAATCGAGTAGTTTCTCAGTCTGCAGGCTTTTTGTTCGCAAAGGGTCGAAATGCATTAAAAAATGTTTACTATGGACTGTCATGTTGGGTATACCATAATGCAAAATGATGTTCGAACAATCAATGATATATAAATACATATATATCTACTTTACATATACATAGACATACATATACAGACAGTATCCAAATCGATTGCCATTTGATCAGCGCGTTTGACATCTTTTTCAAATAATATTAAAAAGAGAATCTTTAAGTCAATGTAATATTGTCATTTAATGAGAGTCGAAAGTCGAAGGGTCGACTTGCCACCTAAACTGTGATTATTCTTTCATTCTCTGAGTTTGGATTATCATGAAAGTCTCATAAAAGAAGTTTTTAATCTCGCATAAAAGTTTTCCTTCTGATTCATCAAAGTCCCAGCCTATGGGAAACATTAAAATTTGCAACATGTTAGACCTAATCGGAACACAAAATATTGATGCCATCAAATTGGCTACGAGGCAAGTTCCGAGACAAGGGACAGACAGCCAGACTTGGGCTTGGCGGCACTCGACGCTTTTGTGGGTCAGTGTCGAGCGACGCTCATCAATGTGTTGGATGGGGGGAGGTGGGGTTTGTTTGTCTGTTCGCTAACCTGGAGCTGTGTGCATCATCATCTTTGGTAGTTGGACACGTCACTTTTCGTGTTTGATAAGGATCCGCAGCGAGAACAAAATCAAACCAAAGAAACGAACGAAGGCGAAGGCGTGCGCCCGAATATATATTCGAATTTTATTATGCATGACAGCTCCAAGAGCAACAACAACAGCAAACATTAACAATGGACACGCCTACAGCCCCAGTCATGAAGTCAAGCTTGCGTTGGCTAGTGTGTGGAAGAGGATGGGGATGGGGAAGAGGATGAGGGAGTGGGGGATGGCCAGCGGATTTTTGGGTACCTGTCTGACAGCGGGTTGCCGGCCTTTCGAGGTACCGAACCGAATGCTTAGCCATGTGAAAAAAGATTGCGTTTTTCATATTTTAATTTTACTTGTTTAACGTTTCGAATACGATTTTTGAATATCGATAAGCTGCAAGGCGGAACATTTCCCTTTATTGTTACTTTTGCCTTTGTATGTATTGTTGTTGTTGTTGTTGTAATGATTCTTGGGCTTGTTCTGTGTATGCCGCATGCATGATTATGTAACATTTTCCTACACTCTCATTCTTCACTCGTTCCCCCTCGATTTATATATTTTGACAAATGATTTCTAAATGAGTGGACACTTTTTCCACCCATCCCTGTATGGAACTACCAATCCTGAAGTTAATAAAAAGTATGTTTGGATAAATATTTTTGACTGCTGGCAGCAGGTAACGGCAAACGGGCATGTATTTAATTAATTAAGCCGCGTCAAGATAACAAACAAGCAAAAAGAAAGAACGACACAAAAATCAACGATTAATTTGAACGCTGACTAATGCCAATAAGGACGGAGTATCCCGAAAAAAATACATATGTATGTACCTACATTTCATATCATGTGAATATATGGCATTTATACATACATACATATATATATGCAGAAATAAAAATAACTCAAGAGGAATATCCATTGAATTAAGTTGCAGTTTGGTAATTAATTAATGAAGATCTACATCCATACATATGAATATACATAGTAAGTAATGTATAAATTAAATGACGTTGTTTGCAATTGCATGCATTCGAATTTATAAATATAGAAAACACTAACTACTTAATTATTATTTATTATTCAAAACAACAAAAGAATAAATAGATTATATATTTTGTAATAAAATATTTCCAGTTGCATGTCAAAATGATTAATGTTCAACCCGATTGACATTGAAAAGCGACAGTTCTAGCAGTGCTATCCACTCTCGCATTTTATCTTTTCCATATTTACATACATACAATACGCATGCATGTGTGTTTGCAGCAATTGTATTTCAATTGTGCCAAATAAATTCATTGTTTCTTTTAAATTATGTACATAAATTTATTGAATCTATTAAAAAGCACTTCGTTGGACTGGCAGTATTAAATGTTTGTCATCGGGGCATTCCCATTATTCACTTGAAACATTGCATAGAAAATGTTTTAAATATTGCGCATTTCTTATGTTTCATTTCATTCACACAATCTAAATAAACTATCGACAACTATTCCACTGTTCTTATTCAAAAAAATGCAAACATTAGTTGATGCTGGCAATGCTGTATATGCCGGCCGGTTAGCTTGCGCTCTCTTCTTTTCCCTATCTCTTTCTTTGTTTTGAGTATTTTTAGCACAGTGGGCATTCAAGCAATTTTAAGGCCCAAAATTAACTTGATAAACAACTTATTAGTTAATAAAATACATAAATTATTTTATTGCATTTTTAATGCCGTCGACGGTCGACATGAAAATGCATATTAAAACACAATTTGCAATTTTAATGGTAACAATGCAAACAAATATGCTAATACATGTGCTTACAGATTTAAGTATATACAAATAATAATTTATGCGATTTGTTTGCATTTGGTATTTAAATTGTTTAATTTGCACATATACATGTATATCAGCAGTTACTTATTTATATATGTATGTATGTATGTTAATGTAGGCCTATACATACATACAAATGTATTTACTGTCACGCTATGCAAGAGAGCACTACCACAGCTCCAACTGCTGGGCTATTTCATGGTTCATTTTGTTGCTATTTTTACAGAGATCGTGCCCCTATTCTTCACACAGTCACAGCCCCACAGACATACAGACGACAGACCAAAGCAAACTCGACAACAAACAGCGCAAAAACAAACTCGAAGCTAGACGCCGTTAGTTTGTTTCGATTGGAACGGCACGGCAGCTGGCAGCTGCGGAATAGAGCTGCAATTAAAGTTGAGCAACAACAGCAAATATTTTTTATTCAAAAATCGTTAATTCAATTAACTACTACAGGTATGTACATATGCATGTATATGTCTATCCATATATGTATGTGATTATTTTGAACAGCTACAATTTTCGCAACAGCCCAAAAAATTGCCAAGTTGCTGCCGAGCGAACGAATGAATCGAGAATCAGTTGAATGCAAGCAACCGAAGAGCACAGAAGCATCAGCTGAAGCAGCAGAAGCTAAATAACGGCGAATTTTTACATTATTTTCAGTTTGCAGTAATTTTGATCAGAATGACAACTACTTTTACGATCAATGGACAGCCCTACACGGGTAAGTTTTTATACGAATATGAACGGGTCCATATAGAATTTAAAAATACAAAAGCTATAAAAAGATTTGTATTACGTACTAATATATCTATCTCCCTCTCTCTCACTTTCATCGCAGTGAATCTGAGCAGCCTGCCGGCAGATATCACTTTGAATACCTTTATCAGGGAACATGCGCAGTTGACGGCGACGAAGTTCATGTGCCTGGAGGGCGGCTGCGGTGTCTGCGTTTGCGTGTTGCGCGACGGGAAGCGCAGCTGGGCGGTCAATTCGGTAAGAAAGGGTATCCATATAGCTGAACAAAGACGAACATCAACATTTATATTGGCGCTTTTGGTAGTGCATGACTCTGTTGAATAGCTGCGCGCAGCTGGAGATTGTGACTTCGGAGGGACTGGGCAACATGCGAAGCGGCTACCATCCCATACAGAAGCGTCTGGCCAAGCTGAATGGCACCCAGTGCGGCTACTGTTCGCCGGGATTTGTGATGAGCATGTACGGGCTGCTGGAGTCGCGTGGGGGTCAAGTGAGCATGGCCGAGGTGGAGAACGCCTTCGGCGGTAACATTTGCCGCTGCACCGGCTACCGGCCCATACTGGATGCCATGAAGTCCTTTGCCGTGGACAGCTGCATTCAACTGCCGGCAGAGTGCATGGACATTGAGGACCTATCGCCGCGCAACTGCCCCAAAACGAGTGAGCGATGCGCGGGCAGCTGCGCGAGGTCCACTTTGGCCCACGATGATGGACGTCAGTGGCATTGGCCGCAGTCCCTGAGTGAACTGTTTGAGGCCTTGGACCGGGTGGGAGAGGAGCAGTTTATGCTTGTCGGAGGCAACACGGCCCATGGAGTTTATCGTCGTGGGCAGGACATCAAACACTTCATTGACTTGCGCGCCGTAGCCGAGCTACACGAATACAAGTATGAGCCGCATCAGCTGAAACTGGGTGTCAATCTAAGTCTCAGCGAGGTCATGGACATTCTGAAAGATACTTCCACCAAGCCAGGCTTTGAGTATCTGCAGCAGCTCTGGCAGCACCTGGATCTGATCGCCAATGGGCCAGTTCGTAATGTGGGTCTCTCGCCTACTCTCTTCAAGCTCTTCAAGCCCTTCAACTCTTTAACTCTTCTTTGTTGCAGACTGCCACCCTGGCTGGCAACCTATCAATCAAGAAAGCACATCCAGAGTTTCCGTCAGATGTCCACGTCAGCCTCGAAGCACTTGATGTGCGTGTCGTCGCCTCGAAGGGCGCTAAGGATGAACAAGAAATATCACTGGCCGATTATTTGAACTCCAATGATAAAAAGCTCGTGCTTAAGGCTCTTCTGCTCCCTGCATATGCTACGGATAAGTTTATATACGAATCATATAAGGTAGGGTGTTTTAATGTAGATAATATTAAGATCTGCAATCAGCATTGCAAATCGCGAATCGCTCTCACCACTCACTCTCGACACGATCAGCAGACTTCGGCTCTTTTCGTTTTTGACGCTCAGTTCAGCGAACAGAGTTTATGGAGAGATCCGATTGGCGTTCGCACAATAAGACTCATTAGCGGCCAAATATCATATGCACACAACACAACGAGCACAACTCTGGTTCACACACATACCAATGCACACACAGACGAGTTTTTGCATAAGTTAAGTCAGTCGAATGATCGGAGAACCGACAGAGCGAAACAAAAAGATCTTTCTAACCGAGCGCAAACGAGCTCTCTAAAAAACCAACGCAGTCTGTTGCGCTTGGAGTTTTTTTCTCGGAGTATAAGTAAAATGTACTTATTTGCATACATTGAGAAACGGTCTAAATTTATTTGCGATCTATGGTAATCTTACCAACCTATGTATAGTTATTGTAGGTAAACACTAAAGCTCGGAGAAATGTCTTAAACAATAATTCCATTTTCCCTGCAGATTATGCCACGTGCCCAGAATGCGCATGCGTATGTGAACGCCGCCTTTCTGCTCGAACTGGATGCAGAGTCGAAGGTGAAGAATGCTCGCATTTGCTTTGGCGGCATCCGGCCGGACTTTGTGCATGCAACGCCTGTTGAGCAGCTGCTGGTCGGACGCAATCCCTTTGACAATGCATTGCTGGAGCAGGTATTCGACAAGCTGTCGACGCTGCTGCAGCCCGATGAGGTGCTGCCGGAAGCATCCCCCGCCTATCGCTTGAGTCTGGCCTGTGGACTGCTATACAAGTTTCTTCTGAAACATGCTCCCAAAGAGGAAGTGAACGAAGCCTTTAAGAGCGGAGCGCAACTATTGCAGCGTCCATTGTCCTCGGGCACACAGGTGTACCAGACCCAGCAGCAGAACTATCCCGTTACGCAGGCGGTGCAGAAAGTGGAGGGCATGATTCAGTGCTCGGGCGAGGCGACATACATGAATGATGTGCTGACTACTTCGAACACTGTGCATTGCGCTTTTGTGGGAGCCACCAAAGTGGCCGCCAGCATAGAGCAAATCGATGCCTCGGAAGCCCTTCGGCAGCCTGGCGTGGTGGCCTTCTACAGTGCTAAGGATATACCCGGCACAAATACGTTCTGTGATCCGAACTTTGGCTACGAGCCAGAAGAGATCTTCTGCACCTCGCCGGTCAGGCACTATGGACAACCCGTGGGTGTGGTTGTTGCCCTCACTGCGGATATTGCGAAGCAAGCAGCCCAGCTGGTAAATATCACCTATGGCCAGCCGTCTACGGAGCACAAAGTATTGCCCAGCTTAAACGATGTGTTGGACATGTCGCCGGAACCGGAGGCTTCGCGCATCATTCGTGAGGTCTCCGCGAAGCCAGGCAAGTTGAAGTGTTCGGCTACGCCGGATAAGACTGTGCGAGGCGTCTTGCAGATTGGACTCCAGTACCACTTCACCATGGAACCGCAGACAACAGTGGTAGTGCCTTTCGAGGATGGGCTCAAGGTTTACTCCGCCACCCAGTGGATGGATCACACGCAGTCCGTTATCGCCCAAATGTTGCAGATAAAGGCCAAGGATGTGCAGCTACAGGTCCGACGTTTGGGTGGCGCCTACGGCGGCAAAATAACACGCGGCAATCAGGTGGCCTGCGCCGCCTCCTTGGCTGCTCAAAAGCTGAATCGACCCGTGCGCTTTGTGCAATCCATTGAATCGATGATGGATGTGAATGGCAAGCGCTGGGCTTGTCGGTCCGACTATGAGGCTCAAGTGCTGGCCTCTGGAAAGATTGTGGGCCTCCAGAATGATTTCTACGAGGATGCCGGCTGGAATAAGAACGAAAGCCCCATCGTAGGACATTCCACATTTACTGCAACAAATTGTTACGAGTTCACCGACTCGAATTATAAAATTAATGGAAACGCTGTACTGACTGATGCACCAAGCTCGACCTGGTGCCGAGCACCCGGATCTGTCGAAGGCATTGCTATGATGGAGAACATAGTTGAGCATGTGGCCTTTGAGTTAGATCTCGATCCAGCTGACGTGCGGCTGCTCAATTTGGCTAAGGGCAATAAAATGGCAGAGTTGCTGCCTCCATTTTTGAAGTCGAGGGAGTACACGGCGCGACGCAAGGAAATCAAGGAGCACAATGAAAAGAATCGTTGGAACAAGCGCGGGCTCGGTCTGGCCATAATGGACTATCCCATCTTCTACTTCGGCCAGTATCCGGCCACTGTCGCAATTTATCATGTGGATGGCACCGTCGTTATCACCCATGGCGGCATTGAGATGGGTCAAGGTACGGAGTGTTTAATCAACTCGTTTGGTATGAAATGATTTTATTTTCCTTTGCTTTGTCTATCAGGCATGAACACGAAAGTCGCACAGGTGGCCGCATACACGTTGGGCATTGAGCTGGAGTACATAAAAATCGAATCATCGGACACCATAAATGGAGCCAACTCAATGGTAACGGGTGGTGCCGTCGGCAGTGAAAGTCTGTGCTTTGCTGTTCGTAAAGCCTGTGAAACGCTCAACGCTCGGCTGAAGCCGGTGAAAAAGCCCAAAGCCTCTTGGCAGGAGACAGTGCAGGCAGCATACGCCGCATCGATCAATTTGATTGCCTCAGATCATTACAAAGAGGGCGACATGCAGAACTATCATATCTACGGAATGGCGTTGACCGAGATCGAGCTGGACGTGCTTACCGGCAACAGTCAGATCAAGCGCGTCGACTTGCTGGAGGATGCCGGCGAGAGTCTCAGTCCCAACATTGACATTGGTCAAGTCGAGGGAGCATTCGTCATGTGCCTGGGCTATTGGCTCACTGAGAAGTTAGTCTACGAACGGCAAACGGGACGCCTTCTTACGAATCGCACCTGGAACTACAAGCCACCGGGACCCAAGGATATACCCATTGATTTTCGCATCGAGCTGGTTCAGAATCCACAGCCCAGCAGTGCGGGCTTTATGCGGTCAAAAGCCACAGGCGAGCCACCCTGTTGTCTGGCTGTCAGCGTTGTCTTCGCCCTGCAGGAGGCATTGCAATCGGCCAGAAAGGATGCCGGATTACCCAGGCAGTGGGTGCGTCTGGGTGCGCCCACCACACCTGAAACGTTGCTACTGAATGCGGGACATGATGTCAAAACGTTTAGCCTTAAATGAACAACTTAAATATTGTAACAAGAATATATAAATATGTATAAATGAGTGCTTACATGCAATTGCAGTACAATTGTAATCAACTAAATATATATTTATATACATATACATATGTATATACATATTTCAATTTTAAATTGATTGATTTACATATGGATTCCGTGCTAGAAATTATTTACCAGTGAATAAACTGTATAGAGCTTATATACATATCGAACATACTTCTGTATCAAATGTATAAAATAAAACAAATTTATATAACTAACATACCAAAATAATTTTGATAGGGAGTATTTGTACTAGACTAATAATATGTAGATTAAAATGGTCGAAAACGAGTTATAAACTTCCAGATGCCGCTAATAGATGCCAATTCGAGTCTGCTCGGATGAGTTATCGAAAAACATGATAAACTCGTACGGCGTAGGGTATACACGAGTATGCATACATTTCACGTTTCTAGCTCGTATATCTTCTGAGATCTCGGTGTTTACATGGACAGAATAAAAAGGGCTATATGGACTCAGTTCGTCGCCCTGATCAAGAATAAATATACTTTATGGGCTCTGCAATGCTCCCTTCTGCATGTTACATACATTATCACAAAACCATAATACCCTGATTTTCAATGGGTTCAGGGTATATTAAAAAAAAATGTGTATAAACAAAAACTAGCTTGAGCCCGGCTAGCGAGCGAAGTTATCAAATAGAAACAAATAGAGTGTGCGAGAGGGAGAGAGAGCTTTTAAGTGAGTGAGTGCCAAAAAAGCTTATCGATCGAAAATGAGAGCGCGAGAGAGAGAGTATAAACGCCAGCGTGATTACCAGTTAAATGTAGTAATGTACCTAAAACTGGAATGTACCTAAACTCTGTATATATGTACATTTTATTCTACATGTATTATATATTTTATTTCAATTATTTTATTATGAATGCTTAATGTTTTTCAAATATTACTAAAGTTCTTAAGTCAACAGTTTTGGAATCGATTTCATATTAATTTTATTGCAAATAAAAGTACAAAACTTATTTGGTACATTTCTTAGCCTTGTAGCAAACGGGAACCGAAATGTAAGCGTCCATCCATTATAAGTAGATTCAAAGTTTCGTGCTCTCAGTTGAACTTGATGAGCCTCAATGAACGAGCCTAACCAATATAAATACGCGAGAACTGGGACAACGGAACCGCAGTACAGCTGAGATCGACGTGGGTTACGCATTTGATTCGCCAAAGGAATAAATTGATATATACAAGTATAATTAAAGTGTTTTCAATAAACGCTACAAAGATAATTGATAATGCCGCAAAGTATAACTATTAACGGCGACTGCTATGAAGGTATGTATGCAGATACAACTGTACATATGTATGTATGCGAATACATACATACATTCATACATAAATAAGTAACCAAGTGTAACACTATGATGTGTAGTAGAGTGTCGAACACAATTCTGATTGGGTTGATAGATAATTATTTACATACAAAACTAGGCAAAGCCGATGCGCTTAAAAGGCATTTATATAACACAAGAGATAACAATCCTTAATATTCTACACATGTAAACAATTAGTCTAGGCTTGTCGGTTAATTGTGAGAATTGGCAATTAGAATTTGTCAATTTAAATAACAATATTTGTTGTTTCGTCAAATGAACACAACAACTTCATATTAGAGGTAAACAGCGGATGACAAATAGGAATCCCTAGTCAAGAGTGCCCAATTAAATGCATTTACAATCTCGCTATTCCAAGTTATTGTTGGGATTGCCCTTGAAGTGCATTACGAACATAAGCAAACAAATAACAATCTTTAGCTTTCAAGTACCTTGCTTTTATAGTTGACGATACACCACGTCATCCAAACAAGAGTATTACAAATTATAATAACACATATTAGCAATTTTGTTATACAAAAATATTCTCTTATTTCCTTTTCTGAGGAGTTAATTTCCTGCATCTCCCTGATTGTCTTAATTAACATCTCCTTAAATCTTTTCTCCAGTTAATCTGTCCAGCCTGGCCGCAGACATCAGTCTGAACACGTTTATCCGAGAACATGCCGGTCTCACGGCCACCAAGTTCATGTGCCAGGAAGGTGGCTGCGGTGTCTGCGTTTGTGCCCTGAGCGGTGTTCATCCGGTGACCGGGGAGCTGTGCACCTGGGCGGTCAACTCTTGCCTGACGCTGCTGAACACCTGCCTGGGCCTGCATGTGACCACCTCCGAGGGCCTGGGCAACAAGCGCAAGGGCTACCATGCCATACAGCAGCGCCTGGCCAAAATGAACGGCACCCAGTGTGGCTACTGCTCGCCAGGATTCGTCATGAATATGTACGCGCTGCTGCAGTCCCAGGGCGGACGGGTGACCATGGCCGAGGTGGAGAATGCCTTCGGCGGCAACATTTGCCGCTGCACCGGCTACCGGCCCATACTGGATGCAATGAAGTCCTTCGCCGTGGACAGCAACATAGCCGTGCCAGCGGAGTGTGCTGACATCGAGGACCTGAGCAGCAAGCAGTGCCCCAAGACGGGCGAGCTCTGCGCTGGCACCTGCAAGAAGAGCCAGCCACGAGCTGTGCAGCACTACGCTGACGGCAGTCGCTGGTCCTGGCCACAGACTCTATCCGAGCTGTTCGAGGCACTGGCCGCGGCTG